CGGCGGAAAGAAAAGCCCATGGAAGGGAACCGGGACGAGGCGGAAAAATGTATCGGAATCGCCCGAGAGGCCCTGGAAGCCGGCAACCGAGAACGGGCGCTGCGCTTCCTCAATAAGGCCCAGAAGCTCTATCCGACCGAGACCGCCAAAGGTGAGCTTAGGCCGCCCTTAGGCCGGCGGGGAGCCTGTGGGAGCCAGTCTCGCGCCCTTCTCTTGTAGAGCATCTCCGCCGCTTGAGACGCACTCTCTCTCGGTGGGCGGCTCGGCAGGAAGGACTGGGGCCTTTAGGCCAGGTGAGGGAGAGAGGAAGGAAATAGGCAGAAGCTTCGAGTGGGTGCTCTCATCAGTATCGTGGCTCTTAGGCAAGGTTCTTAGATAAGCTACAGTTCGTTGACTAACCCACAGTTAACACCCTAATTTTAAACCATAATTTTAAACCATAGTTTTCTAAAACTGCTGTGGCTTGTTCATGTGATACGGTAAGTCAAAATCAGACCACATTATGGTTTAATGAGGTGTGTAACCCAACCTTGTTATCACTGCCACTCAGAAGGGGTGCATATGCAGAAAATTACATGTTTGTTTATTTATCATCTATTTTGGATACTAAGAATTTGGATCATCGGAGGGTGGCAAATGCATCTTCTTGAGAAACCATGCCCGATATTAATACTAATGCCTCATATAAGTTATTTTAGTAGTGGCTAGTGACCTTGCGAGATCAGTCTCTAGTAAGGCTCTGCAGGGCTTCAGATTTTATTCCAGAAAGTTGTTTTAGAGCACAAACATGGTAAACGCCTGCAACTCTTTAAAGCAGCTGCATCTTTCTCCAGGATTTCATGGTTGCTTTAAAGAGTTATACACAAGCATTATCTTTATGGCCCCACATGGCCCCAAGCATATTTTTGAAGTTGAATTCAAACCATTGCTATCCCCAAGGGAGAGCTAGGCTGAGAGAGCTGCTTACCTTAGACTGCATTGCAAGTTCACATTTGAACTAGGTACTCCCTTGTGAAGAAATTCTATCATCACGTGCTATTTCATAACTTACATACATGCTCATTATGGTATTCCCTTTTGAGATAAGGAACATTATGCAAAGAGTAAGTTGTAGTAAATACAATAAGTAAAGCCATGAGAAAAATAAAGGGAAGTGTAACTAAATCTAGTTTCACAAATACCCTTCACTATATATTTCTATACCTTTCTGTCTTTGCAAACAATTTTTGCTTGTACCATGTCAAGATACCAGTTCAACTTCCCCTTTTAATGTCCTCCGCTTCTTGTCAACCATTTACTCTTCTTCATAAATTTATATCTTAAATGTATTTGTAAACTTGTGTATACCTCCTGATTGATAGAATGCAGACAAAAGCGTGTTGGCTTGCTAGAGGATATTCAGATTAGAGATCATAGCTTGCATAAAGTAACATAACTGTACTTGGGAGTAAAACTGGGCTTTGGTTGCGGTTGTGGCATAATGGCCAAAATGTGCCAAACTATCTGGGGTTGTGCCCTTAGATTAGCAAGGAATGCTGCATGTGGCCAAGAGCAAAACTAATGCTGGTAACCTAGCAAACACAGCTTGTTAGCTAATTAATGGTTCAGTGTGTTGTATGAGCCCATAAAATTTGGATAACCAAGTAAACCATAGTATTTGTTATTAGATCTATATTGCACCTTCATTTTATACAGCTGAAGGTGGTGCACATAATGCTCCCACCTCCTGTTTCCCCACAATGACAACTCCATGAAGTGAGTTGGGCTGAGAGAGAGTGACTGGCCCAAAGTCACCCAGACGGCTTTCATGCCTAAGGCAGGACTAGAACTCACATTCTCCCAGATTCTACTCCAGGACCTTAACCATTACACCAAACAATTTAATTGATTATATTAACTATGGATATCTATTTTATGTGAGCATAGCCACTGATGGAATGTGCAAACTCATCTGTATTCTGTGAATCATGCTTATATGTATGAAATGCTTTAATGTTATTACACTTTCTTTGTTTTCCACCCTTCTATTAGGGGCTGACTAGTTCTACAGCCTTTTAGCAGCCTTTTCTTGATTTTCATTTTTATATAACCCACTATCCCATGGCCTTCCATTCCCCTGAACAATATGGTTTTATTGATAAAATCTTGGAAATGCATGACTAGTAGCTGTTGAAATTTTAGAGACTTGCCAAGACATCCCCATGTATCACACAAGCTGGTTATAAAGTGAATTCTTCACTATTTAAAAAGATCCCATTAAGTTCATTAAACCTTATTCCCAAGAAGGATTGCTGGATTAATCTGTTTTAGCTACCATGATTCCTCTAGATGAGATAAAGAGAAATCTGTACCCAGGATGGCATTAAAAAGTGGTTGAGAGATTTCAAGTTGTTTATGTGTTTATTATTTGGTAGAGGGAATGGTAAAGAATAGTGAAATTTAGGCGTTCAAAAGTTTCCATGAATGTGAGAAAGGAAGTGAGAGTCAGACAGAGATCTACAATTTATAGCAAGATAAGCCAGTTTTTACATACGTGTGTGTTTTCAGTATTTTGCCTTTGTTGGATATGGAAAATAACCACAGAAAGCAGTAAAGCATTTCCATGTGCTTGACACGTATCTTTGGTAGCCTTAAAGTTGGAAGCTTTATTATTTTAAAATAGTAACTTACATGTTTAATATACTGAATATGTCCAGTGCCAAATGCTTCAGTGTGATTGTGGAATTGCAGACAATCCTCAGTTTCCTTTGTTGACGCTTCCTCCTAGTTTCTATTTTCTTGGATAGTCATTTATTTCTGATTTCCTATCTGTTGACCCTGCACTATTGACTTTCTATTCAAGTCAGTTTCAAACTACTTGAAATGTTTTTGGAGGATAGGATGGTTTGTAATATGAATAGGCTATGGGATGTTGACTGAAAAGATAAAGTGCAGAAATATATGGAAAGATTTGTTTATTTATTCAATGTATACAGCCGCCCATCTCAAAAACATGAGTATTTGGGTGACTAACAATGAATAAAAAGATAAAAGCGTCACAACAAAATAAATAATATATTGTATACAGCAGCTAAGATAAAAAACAACAACCAATACAACATAACCATGATACAGGCTCAACCACATACTGTACTCAGGGCCTCTGGCTTGGTAACAAAACCATGTCTTCAAGGCCTGATGAAAGGCCAGCAGGGTCAGGGCAAATCTAATCTCCAGGGGAATTATGTTCCAGAGGATAGGTGACATGCAGAAAAGACTCTCTTCCTGGTTCCCATCAGATGACACTGCCTAATAGACAAGACCTGGAGCATGCCTCTCCTGCTGGATCTAACAGGACTGGTAGATATAACTGGGGAGAGATGGTCCTGTAAGTAACCTGGCCCCATGTCATGAAGGGCTTTATAGGTAACTACCGGCACCTTGAATTGAACCTCGAAGCATTGTGGCAACCCATGCAGCTGCATTGCAGTAGTCCAATTGGGAGGTGACCAGGCCATAGTGACCATGACCAGAGCATCCCAATCTAGCAACAGGTCTAATTAGCACACAACAAGTAGCTGTGCAAAGGCCCTCCTAGCCACAGTTGCCACCTGCTCTTCAAGCAGGAGCCATGAGTCCAGGAGGACCCCCTGTCCTAAAACTCTAAATAACCATTTATTAAGGTTGTGCAGCACTTCAGATTTGATTCCAAAAAGATGCTTCACGATACTTGGGAGTGTAAACATGCTATTAGCCTGCAGTCCTTTAAAGCAGTCATGTCTTTTTCCGGGATCATTCAAGGATCATATATTATTGAGGTTGTACAATAATACTTAGGGGTTTATCTTTAAATTCTTCTATAACTTGTGGATTGTGGCATATATTTATACTTGCAGCTTTACAGGATCATTATTACTGATAATATTTAAAAAGCAAAAAAAAAAGGCTTAGCTGAGAAATTTCTTAAGTGAAATCTTAATTAATGTGAACGTAGTAAAGTGTTCTTTTTTAGAGATTCTCAAAATAACAACTGATTATCAGAAACTAGGAAAAAAGCCTTTTTAGCATTTCTTGTCTCTAATGTCTAAATTAAACCAGGTCATTTCACTGGCATGCATAATGTTAGCATGCTAAGGATTCAAGGGCAAGGCAAGCACTGTTTAAAGCAGTGTTCCTCAACCTTGACAACTTTAAGATTTGTCTGGCTGGGGAATTCTGGGAGTTGAAGTCCATACATCTTAAAGTTGCCAAGGTTGAGGAACACTGGTCTAAAGGACCCATTTAAGTAAGATACCTGATGTGGAATACTCCTGTTCTTTTTGCTCATCTGATGCTGTGTTTAAAATAAGGCCTTATACTTAAAAACTCCTGAAGAAACAGGTTGTGTTTGAATTTCTCAAAGGAACAAATATACTCAGGGGTATAATAAAATAGTGTGTGATTATATATTTAAGTTATCTTCTGGAAACACCTGTTTTAGCTTAACCAAAAGCTTTTGTGTGATTTTCTTATTTTGATTCATGAGGAACTGTTATTTTTCACACTGCTGCTTACTCTAGTGGCTCTGGCAACCAGAATGCAAATTGCAGTAAACATGAAATTGGGCCTTTAAACTCTAAATAACCTATTTAGGCTATTAGATACTTTACTTTTACACCTTTCTGTCTGATTATACAATGACGTTCTACAGATAATAGTGCTGAGCTGAATGGCATAGCATGTTATATTAGCTTTGAAATAAATCCACATAGCTTCAGATATTTTAATTAGCTATCTTAACTGCCCATATTTCACAGTATTTCCATTCTGTGATTGTGGATGGCTTGAAAGGGTGAGGGAACCAAATGATTTTGCTTTTCAGAAAGTCTAACCCGAAAGTGATTCCTGACATTTATTTGTTAAATTTATGTCCATTTTTTAAAGGAGGTCAAAATGACAAATATAGCACTTGCTCATTAAGTGTTTATTTGAGCTATATCTATATACCACATTAAATAACATGACTTGTTTTGTCCTAGTGTGGTTTATTCACTAAACCAAGTATTGTGGTTTATTCAGTAAAGAAAGATTCTAGAGTAAATTCAATGGGACTTCCAATTAGACAGCATTCTGCTGTAGATTACATAGGATTTCAGATATAATTAAACTTTTTTGAATTTCCATATAGAGATATGAGTACATTAGTATATCTACTTCAGTGTTTTTCTCATCCGTTCAGTTCATTCAGATCTCTTGTAAATAAACTATTTCTGTGCCTTATTAAACTGTAAGGAGGAAAATCCTTAACACTTATGATTGTGACATGAGCAGCTCTATCTGTTCTTAGTAGTTTAAAAGAATTTTCTAAATGTGAAATAGATAATCTTACTGAACATGTTAATGAGTTTATTGTTTGAATTTCTTAAACTATAACATATCAACTTCACTGGACAAGGGATAAGATACAGATGTTTTAAAATAGAAACTTAATCAAGTTGTGTGATTTAAAAAATCCATAGTTGGGTAAAAAGTTTATTAGGGTCAAGTAAAATGGTGGAAGCTGAAATACTCTAGGTGAGGAAAAACAGAAAGACAGAAGCATATGAATGGTTGGCTATTTCAATTAATGAATCCTCGCTTAAAGACCTGGTTTGAAATGTTTGTCTATTTATTTACTGGGGTTTACATGCCACTCTGGTCCAGCTGCACTTCTGAATGACTTGTTAAAGGCTAATGGGATTTCAGAAATCCTTTTTGTATCATATCTGGCATTATTCTCAGTGATACTTTCAAGCTCATTTGATCTTCATTTCTCCTTTTCTTCTGATGTGTCTGCTGTGCAAGGATGAGGGATCTGTTCTTTCTTGTACTCGTTGAATATAGGTCAGTATAGACTTCAAGAAAAAGTTATAATTTCAGCCAAGTCCTGGGATGGTTCTATAATATAACATCCAAACAGATGGGTAAATTTTCAATTTCACAGTCAAGCAAATTTAGCAGCTGATAATTAAAGATGCATATAATTGTTGAAACACATCAAAGGCAGCATAAGAGTAAAAAGGCTTATTAACATTTCCATTCTAGATTTGAATATATTGTTGAAAAAGTATTATTCTTTTTTATTATTGTAATGGGTCATTCCAATTCTTCAGTACAGGAATGGTTATAGTTTATGGGCTTTACTTGTGAAGGGCAGGGAAAGAATATGATGGATTAAGAAAAAATTATCGGGTGTGTTCCAGATACTCTTGTTTTTTATTCTTGGATCATTATTTGGAGCTCTGAAAAAAATTTGGTTTAAAATAATGATTTCAATCCTGTTAGTTAATTTGACTTTTACTTTATGAGCTGTTGACAGACATATTATAATAGCAAGAGTTGCCATTGGAGACTTCAACATTTTTTCCCTTCAAGATTGTAAATTGTCCTGCTGTCTTTTTAATAGTAGTTTTATTGGTAGAAATTAGCAGGTAAGGATTTTCATTGTATAATGATCAGCATTAAAACCTACTAATGTTTTTAGATCAAGCTGTTACTTGAAGCAGTGATTTTTTTTCTGTTTACAGTATAATGGGACTTATTTTCTGTCTATATCTTTCTTACCTCATTTGAAGCCTTATGAGTTTAAAAAGTGTGCACTGTCTTCTAAACAAATAATGGCATAGTTTAGTTATTGCCGAACTACAGATCTCCCAACTCTCCTCAGCATTAACTGTGCTGAGGCTACTACAAGTTCTAGTTCAGCAGCATTTAGAGGGCCATAGATTCATGACTGATGACCTAATTTCAGTTATTCTCTGGGAATTATTTTGCCACTTTTGCATTCTTTGCCAATAATTTTGATTATTGACAATAATTATTATTCAACAAAATGTTAGAAAATGAATTTAATAAACAAAAGACTTAATTTCATGCTTTCTGATACAGCCCATTTCGATATGTTAAGTATATTTCTTAATATGGCACATAGTGCATTTTCCCCCCCAATTATTAAACAAAATTTTTAACATGTTTCTGACATCTTAGTTAGCAGTATGAGTGAAGTGTTCTGTATCTTTTGTTAATCCCTGAAACAATAGCTAAAGTGAAATTTGATTTAAAAGCATCATGTATAGTATATGCTAAAGTTTAGGAAATCTAGTGTGCTGTAGTGGTGAAGGTGCTGAACTAGGAGCAGGGAGACCAGGTTCTAGTCTGCTATCTACCACAGAAGCTCACTGGATGACTTTGGGGTGGTCACTCTCTCTTAGCCCAATCCACCTTGCAGCTGTGATACCACAGGTAGTTCTCACTTACCAACTGCTCGTTCAGCAACCATTCAAAATTACAACAGCACTGAAAAAGTAGAATTATGACCGGTCCTCAAGCATCCCCACAGTCATGTGGTCGTGATTCAGGCACTTAGCAACCAGCGAGCATTTAAGATGGTTGCAGTGTCTTGCAGTCACATGATCATCCTTTGCAACCTTCCCTGCTGGCTTCTCACAAGCAAAGTCAGTGGGGAAGCCGCCAGTAAGTTGCAAGTCATGGTCATCTGACGTTGTGCTTAACGATTGCAGGTGATTTGCTTAACGGCCACAGCAGAACAGATGTAAGAAAGTTAAGTTGGGCACAGTCATGTGAAGTTTCACTTAATGACCATGTTGCTTAGCAGTGGAGTTGCTGGTCCCAATTGCAGTCAGTAAATGAGGACTAGCTGTATGGGGAAAAATAGGAGAAGAGAGCACTGTGTATGCCACCTTGAGCTTGTATATAAACAAGGTAGTATATCAGTGAATCAATCTAAGCAAGCAAGCTAATAATTACATACTGTGTGAAAGCATGAGTAGAAATATATGGGGTGCCTTGGGTTGATGAGAAGAGAATTTTGCCACGGTGCTAAACTTATTTGACATATTGTATGAAGTTCAGGGTACAGCAGTAGACTGCATCTTTAATCTTTTTACTAAAACAAGAAACAGTTTAAGATTAATATATGGAATCTTATTTCAAATTGGGAATGTTAAGATTGTGACACCACAATTGTCAAATATTCCATCAGTTCAGAAATGTCCTTGTGTAGATAACTTTGTCTTTTTTCTTAGTTGCATTGTATTAGCACCTTGATAGCAAGCAGAGAAGTGAGAATATATTCTATTTAGTTCATTTAACTTAAAAATTATATAACTGTATTGGCTGCCCCTAGGGATATGGGATCAAATTAAATAACTTTTCATTATCTCAAATATCATTCATTGTTCATGTAGTCATACATTTACATAAGATCATTGTTAATGGTAAAATAATGCATTATAATTAAACTGTAATTGTTTTATTGGCCAAGTTTTTATAATTAGGGTTGGTTTCTTTTGTTACCATCCTAATTTAAACTTGTAAATGCATGACAATTGCCTTAAATTATTTAACTCTTCACTCACCCATATATGAAAAACGTCTCCAACCTTGTGCCCTCTAACTCCCAGAATTCCTAACTTGGTGAATGTGGGTTGCTTTTGCATAAATTGTTTATATTTAATGTGCCATTTATATTTATTTGCATTGATAAATTACTGTATATCTCTTACAGTCATTCAGATTATATTAAAGACTGTACAGCTATTTAGGTATTAAATCTTACAAATAAATAAAATGTGTGGCTGCAAGTTGGTTGGCACTGCCTGCTTCCATTGTAAGTGGGGAAGCTGATATTATTTACTGTTTCTTTCAAGGAAGAGTAAGCCTACAAATCTATGCATGCTTACTCAGGAGATAGACTCATTGTATCCAGTGATAATTATTTTTGAGTAAACAGATATAGAACTTATACTAGCAAAAGCAAATACTATGATTGGATAAAAGTCAGATTTTTTTTAATGTATATCCCTATGTTACTAAAGGTTGGAGCAGGAAACCATTCTCAGTTCATTTATAATTAGTGTATAGTGCACTGTATTGTGTGTGTATGTGTGTATCTCTATACAAACACTTGATTTTTGTATCTTCTATTTGAAAACACTCAAACTGGAATAAGTGATGGAAAGTTATGAATGCTTTATTTGCACTTTTTTTCTCTTTAGTGTTACTGGAGGCAATTATGAAGAATGGGAGTACAGCTGGGAGTGGTACTCACTATCGAAAACCAGCAAGCGGGAACGACAAAAGTAAAACTAACAGCATGAAGGACAGCAGTGCATCTGCTGCGGGTGAAATTGGGAAGACTTATACAAAAGATCAAATTGAAGGAGTACAAAGGTATTGATTGCTCTATAACACAATTCTATAATCTAGAAATGCTAATACAGGAGCCTACGAGTAACTAAAAAAGTGCTTGGTTAAGGTCAGTGTGGCTGTTTTATTCAGATGGTTGGTATAGTTAAAGATATGCTGTTCTTTTAAGTCAATGCTTTGGGGGAGTTCTTTTATCATTCAATTGCTGTTATGCATGACTTAATTTCATGAATTCATCTTTTGAAAAGTTTTATAGGATTTGATAAACTAATGACAAAGTGTCTTGGTATTATCAGCTGAAGCCTGATACAATTTGGAATAGTTTGAAATACAAACACAAACTGTAGTTGTGTCTAGTAAACAAATTCTCCATTTATCAGGTACATCAATCTGTTGAATGGTTTCTTAGATTGAATGGCTTGAACTTGAACATACATATTTCACAATTGTGGATGCATGTATTTTCATCATTTCATTTTATGTATATTCTACTAATTCTTTGAATTTTCATCAGTTTGTAATCACCCCAGTAAAGCTTTATTTGCAACTAAATTAGGACAAATTGTTATATTTTTAAGCAAGCTCCTTTTGGGTTTTGTTCATCACATCTATCCTTTGGAGTACTTCTGCATTCAAAATAAGGTAGTCAAACATGTATGGGATAACATTCTAATATGAAAGTGGAAAAAGCATATCATAAGCAGCATGCAGTTAAATTCCTATAGGTGATAAGGAAATTAATGAAGAGCATTCAGAAGTGTGCTTTAAATTGTTTTATTGTATACTAGCTGCATTTTTGTTCTGACCTTTCTTCAAGGAGTTTAGGGAAATTATAATGTTTCTTATCACAATGATTTAACTTCAGAACAACTGAATAACATGGTAGGAATCAGAATGGAGGTACCCAGTGAGTTTTGTAACTGAGTAAGAATTTGACCTTGGATTTATCAGTTGCAATCCAGTGCTCTTTACTGCCACATCAACATTGGTTTCTCTTTGTTTTCAGGCGGAATATATGTTTTAAAGGTGTTTCCACAATACTTGGAATATGTTATGCTCAATCTCTGAATGGTAGTAATAAGAAATGTAAGAGAGAAAATAGTGCAACTAATCAATCTCCATGTGACCGAGTTTAACATATTTTGCTGTCATCAGTTCTAATAATGTATTGGTAGGCACAAATATAAACACCCAACTTAGGCTTGTTTTCTTCTCTCTCTTCTGTGTCCTATACACAAGAGACAGTGCTCCTTTTCATATTGTTGTAGCTCTTCAGCTGAGTGTTGCTCAGTGACAGTTTGACTCAAGTGGGAGCTGGGAAAGATGCAATAGCTCTTTACAGATTGCATAAGTATTAAGCAGTTATGCAAGAAGAATAAGAAGGAGCAGAGCAAAAGGCTGCTCATTTTGGTTGTGCAAAAGAGATCTCATGAGAATGTCATAGGAGCTAAGTTTCATTTGCAGAGTTCTAAAAAAATTATGAACTTTGTTTTCTAGTAAAGAGCAAGCATCTTCACAACTAAATAAAAATTGCAGTGTTGCTCATTGAATTGAATTCAACTGATTCCCTAACCCAATGATTTTATGAGTAAAGCAAAGCCTTGTTATATTATATTACAATAGGATGAGGTGTCCTTTCACTAATGGAGAAGACATGAACGCTTTCTTTCCTAATTGTCTTCAATATTCTGGTCCATTCTTGAGAAATAGTTGTGCTATCTATCCCCGGAGTGTTTTTTCTTTTATAGTCTCTAGTGTTTGAAGCATCTCTTTCTTAGCTGTTGCATCACTGACCTGATACCACTTTAATTAATAATGAGGATAATACTAAGTCTAATATTGAAAATGCTACTCATGTAAGTTTGTAGCAAAGTACAAACTTACATGATTAGCTCAAGTAACTGAATCTGAATGTATCTCTTATTTTCTGGATGCTTTAGTCCTGCCAAGAAATTAAGTTATAAATATTAAAGCAAACTTCTATGTATGGGTTTAAATATTTTAGTCTTTGGAAAAGGAGTAAGGAATGGTAATTGTTTCTCCATTGTTCTATCTGAATAAATCTTAATTTTGGAAAAGTGATTATTTTATTAACCAGAGTCACTTGCATCTCAGTAATAAAGATTTGCTTGAAATCATAGAATACAGTGCTATAAGTATCTGCCTGGTACATGCCTGGTAAAATAAGCATGACGTCTAAGATACAAATATCATATCTAGAAAGAATAAGAAAGTTATGCAAGCTCGAAATCTAAAACAATAAGCTTCTCGCATTATGTTTTGAGATTTAATATGCATTAATGTTTGGTCTCTGAAGAATTTCCTCTTCTTCTGCAGCATAAAAAAATGTAAAAATTACTATGAAGTCCTTGGAGTGTCAAAAGATGCAGGTGAAGAAGACTTGAAGAAAGCTTATAGAAAGCTTGCTCTGAAGTTTCATCCTGACAAAAATCATGCACCAGGAGCAACCGAAGCTTTTAAAAGTAATATTTTATTATTCTTTTATAAGAAGAAAATGCTCCAAGGCAGAACTGATCATTGCTGCTTCCTCACTGATTAGGTTACTATATATCTTTTTAAAGTGGGATGTATCCAGAAATACATTCTAATGACATTTTTAATCTGTGTGAGCTCAGTCCAATCTCATTTGCAAAACAAACCCCCCACCAGCACTGGCAAGGCATGCCACAGTATATAAACAGAGCAAACCCCATCCCATTTTAGCACTGAAGATGTTACCTAGCTGGCTAATGAAACGTTTGCAAGAAAAGAACCAAGCTCAGAGAACCCCAAGGACTCCACAAACCTAAAAGCAATTTAAGTAAAGAGCTGACTGTAAGTTTAAACAGTTACAATGTTACAATGTTACAAAATAGAACTTGCATCACCTCAATATTTTTTGTACATATTACAAAACTGAGCAATTCAGACTATACAGATTTTTAGTAGAGGTAGCAGGAATGGTGATAACATATTGGAGCAACATTTTATTTGGTATTTTTTTCCCAATTATTACCAAAAGGGATAAATACAGCATGCAGCGAAACACACACTACATTTTCAACAGCATTAATGTTGTGATGTGTGCAAAGGGATATTGCAAATCATTCTATCTGGATATATGCTGAATCTTTGCTTTCTGATATATATTGTTTATTTTTTACATTTTAAAAATATGTACTGTCAGCAGTAGTCATGTTTGTATTTGTTTCAGATAAGATGTTTTTCTTCCTTTTTTCTCTTGTGCTCTGCTTTTCAGAAATTGGAAATGCATATGCTGTGTTAAGTAATCCAGAAAAACGCAAACAGTATGACTTCACAGGCAGTGAAGACCCCTGCAATCAACCAGGCAATGGTAGATATAACTTCCACAGGGGATGTGAAGCAGATATCACCCCAGAGGACCTCTTCAACATGTTCTTTGGGGGAGCCTTTCCAACAGGTCTGTTTACCTGTTAAAAACGTAACATTCAGACTCTTTCTGTGTCATCATAAAATTGACATATTCCCTATCCTTATCCTAAAATAGCAAATATCCTACATTTGTAGCATGCCTGAAATCAATTAAATATTGGATTTGTGACTATTAACAGCTTATGAATTATAAACTTTCTGTAGGACAAGAATAGAATGCTTTTGAATTATCTCATGCAAGGGTGGGCAGCTTTTTGATAGGTCAAACAAATGGATACTTAACATTTCTTACAAGATTGAGGATTACAGTGAGCAAGTTTATGATGCAAAATGGATGAGGGCATGTCATACATTTTGATGGCACCATTTTCAGGGCTTTTGATTCATTTAAGGGACAGAATAGTTTAAGGATTTTTTTCTTTGTTTTTATGTTATGCTAAATCTATTTTAAGGTTTATGCTATAATTTTCTATGTGTCTTCTACCTCAAAATAGTATCAAACAGGTTTGACAGTTGTGGTTGAGGGAGGTTCTGCAGGTTGCTATTCCTAGATTCAAAAGAAAGGTTTTTAAAACATTAATTTTGTATTTAAGTTCTCGTCAACTCCCTATGGTTTTCTTTATAGGAAGTGTACATTCTTTTTCTAATGGGCGATCTGGCTACAGTCACCATAATCAACATCGCCATAGCGGACATGAAAGAGAAGAGGAAAGAGGTGATGTAAGTTTCTCCTGAACAACTGTTTCCTCAATCTAATGTAGGATGCCTTTTTGTACATTGAACTTTCTAAAGGATTTTTAAAAAGCATCCCTATAACATTTAATAAATGAATTTCCAAGTAAACAATAAAAACTGAATAACTGAAACTAATAATACTAATATAGTCTAATCTAAATGCTGGACTCATATGTATGCTTTCAGAGGCATAAACTTTACTGGGTTGCCCCCAAACATGGCCAACCATTGACAAGGGAGGGAGGGAGGAAGTGGCCAAGTTTGGACAACACTGCCCTGATAAATTGCAGCCTGAAAAAAAGCTATAGAATTCTTGAATGTGGCTGTTTAGTGGTACAGGAACAGGATATTGGATCATTTTCAAGTCTTGAACTAAGGTGATTTTTAAAATTAATGTTACTCTAAACTGTTTTCTCAGTCTGGATTACATTAATTATGTGCATTAAAAACAAATGTTCTGATTTCAAAATTCCAGTATGTCAAGGAAACGTAACATTTCAGGTTCAGAAGACTTGCAAAATGGTCAAATGGTATTTTGAATTTGAAATGGTTTGAACTGAAAACATTTTACATATCCCTACTTGGCAAATTACAAGTATGTTGAGATTAGAACACATTTTGAGGAGGTCTGTTTTAGAACACAAGGTACAGTAATGGATTTTAAACATTTGTAAGTTACAATTAAGCCATATTGAACTAAAAAATAGCAGATTATTAATAAGAGAGGGTTTGTTAAGATGCACAGACTTCAAAAGCTTTTAAGAAATAAATTTACAGGAATCTGCTAGAGGTACACATTTCCTGTTTAGCTTTTGTGGGCTGGATAGATTCCTTTCAGTTTACAAAAGTAAACCACACGTCCTGCAATTCTTTTCATTGACTGCTGTTTTGTTTTCCAGGGGGGGTTCTCCATGTTCATTCAATTGATGCCAATTATTGTGCTGATCCTTGTTTCTTTGCTTAGCCAGTTGATGGTGTCTAATCCTCCTTATTCCTTATATCCAAGATCGTAAGTAATAATACTTTTATAATGACCTTTATCATACCCACTTTGTTAATAGTCAGTGTCTATAGATAATTGTCACTTATTTCTTGCATTTCATTTTACCATTCTTCCCTTTCATTCCCTCTTTTTTATTATTATTATTATTATTATTTTTATTATTATTAAATTTATATGCCACCCATCACCCCCAGAGGGCAACTCTGGATGGCATACTCTTGGACCCCCTCCTTAAAATAACTGTGTGTATATAGAATATTTATTTTTCAGTACTATATTTGATGAAGCTGGTGAAATGGATTGTAGTCCAAAAAATATATTCATAAATACTTAAAGTACCACAAGACTCTGTTTATTTTCTGTAAAAGAGCAAACTGTCTAGAAAATTGCTGTTTTAAATTCATTCTATTGATTCCACATTGTTTCAGTTTCAAATGTGGCAATGCTTTCCTCTCTTGTATGCATCAAGACAGTATAATAATACTAGTTTGTAACAAGGAGTAATTCAATCTCTGCACTTTGTAGATTTCTGTAGATACTGGTCTAAAAAAACCTGATGTGACTAATTAAAAATCCAGGTCCGCTTTGTAGCACTGTCTGGCTGGTGGATGTGAATGTTGCTATCTAAATGACTATCATGAACATGAGAGGATTTAAGTTAGAAATGGCAAAATTATAAAAGCCATTCTATATTTGATTTTTGGAACTGGAGTTCTAGGTGATGGGATGGGGGAAAGTGTTGCATTTGTGAGAAATACCAAGTGTTGTTTGAATTGTTTTAAACAATAGGTTTTTGTAGCTATTTCTGAAAGCCAAGCAGTTACTAATCTACTAATGTAATGGTAAAATAGCAGTAATTGGCAACTGTTGCCGTATTAAAAGCTAGATTCCAGTTGCATGCTGAGATAGTGCACCAGACCTCATAACTATTGAGGCAGTGAATAACTTTAAGGCAACATTTGCGGATTTCTGGATTTGCAGCAATAATTATTTGCTTAGAAGTTAAATAGCAAATGAGTAACTTACATTATAGATTTGAAACTCTCTTTGCTTTTCTTTGCTAAGTGCAGACTTTGAAGTATTCACCCATGCTGATAATTGATATGGAATCTTTTTACAGGAGTTCAGGGCAGACCATTCAGATGCAGACAGAAAATCTGCGTGTTGTTTATTATGTTAACAAGGACTTTAAAAATGAATTCAAAGGTCCAAATTTGCAAAAGGTGGAAAAGAGTGTAGAAGAAGACTATGTCTCAAATATTCGAAATAACTGTTGGAAAGAAAGGCAACAAAGTAAGTTTTACAGCCCACATTGAAGACTTTTTCAAATATAGCTAGAAAGAGGTATTGGGGAATTTCCTGAACAATGTTGGCTGGACTGTTTGAGCAAAAATCCCTCCAAATTACGCAGAATTCTCAGAGATTACCCTAGCAAAATTCCTCTAGCACTACTTTTTTTGGTATTTTATATATATCTACAGCTTGTATAAGTACCATATATCATTTTACAAAATTTCCAGTTCCTATTTTAGGTCACATAGAATCACTATGTGACTTCTAAGTCTAATCCTCCTGGCTTTGCCCTCCCCACCTTTTTTTTTCAAATATGGGGATAATAGTGGTGGACTACCATAGATGGCTGTTGTGTATATTATTAAACTAATTTGCTGTAGAAGTGACTTCTGTTATTTTTTTATTATTTTGGTTCTTTGAAAGCACTAGAGTACAAATGGAGTAAAAACTACTACTAGATAAGGTCATGTAAACTCCTCTAAAGTATTATAACATGGCAGTAATGGTGGCCAAGAAGCATTTTTCCCCACAGTCATCCAGTAGACTTCTTCCAAGCAGCATAGCTGTTTATATTTTGGTTATTGTAAGATTTCAGTGCTATTTTTTACTAGCGGTTGGTCACCATTTGGACAACACAGTTAATGCTGATGAAGAAAAGGTGTTGTCCAAAACCCTATTTGGTACAATTTTGGTGAATGACTTTTTTCTTCTAGATTGGAAAATGTGGTCAAGATGGTTGGTCAAATCTGACCAGCCATTTTTGGATTCAGCTATTATTTTTGTTCTCTTAGTATACTCACCAGGTAAAGATAGGGAACTATAATAAGGAAGGTATAACTTCCTGCTTAAGAGAAAAAAAGCATGTTCTCATGCTTCTTAGGACAGACAACTTTGCAGCAATTCCTAAAGAAACATTGGAACTCTTACAATTTCAATATTACACCAGTAGCAAACATCCACTTCCTAAGCAAGTGGTTTCTAAGCCACTTTCAAGCGTGATTGAACAAAATTGCTTTCCTAGGTACCTTTCAGTTATAAGTTTAATCCCATGTGAGTTGTTATTTGCCAGTCAACAAACTGGGACACTACAACCTTATTAATGTTCTGGTGCTTATGGTGCTTTCAGAAGCTATCTTTTATGCTTATCAGTGGTTCTGCTCACAGCTGCTCAGCTTCCTTCAGAAAATAGGAATTGGATTTCTACTAATTTCCCTGCATTTATTTATACTTTGTTGCAGGATTCTATCTTACCTCATGCACTTTTTAATAATTACATAAAATTGTTGAATAAAGTCAACCAGAGGTTGAGGTCCGTCTGCATGTTTTGTCAACGTGCAGATAATACCTAGCTCTAATTCTCTTTTATGGTTAATCCACTTGAGTTGATGGAGGTATAAAAATTGAAGTTCAACCCAAGCAAATGGGTAGTTTCTGTATTTAGTTGAATAATACTGATTTTGATAGATATACAGAAATCTATTTGTAAATTTGCATCTGGGTAGAAAAGTAGTAAAACATCTTGAAAACAATATATAGAAGATCAAGATCAAAGCAATATTTCCATTCTCTGTAATTTGGATGGACACCTCTTTCTCTGTCAGATCTGCACAAACAATATTTATTGGGATGACAGTGTTTCCTTACTCCATTTGTATTTTTAATAAGAACTGGTATAAAAATATTTCAAAATAAATAAAGTAAATAGATTATCCCAATAGAAGAAACCCTTTGGTTTGAAATCATTTTAGTTTATTAGTTGGTATAATATGGAAGAACTTGGACTTGGGGGAGAAGCTGTTTAAAACCAATTTTCTGACACTTTTATTTGTTTGTTTTTAAAGAAACTGATTTACTCTATGCAGCAAAAGTTTATCGGGATGATCGACTGCAAAAGAAAGCAGAAGCTATTTCCATGGACAACTGCAAAGAGCTAGAACGATTAACGAGCATCTATCGAGGAGGATGAGCTAGATTTTTGATCTATACTGCTTGAAGTACATGCTTCCTGAGAAAAATACTGTTTCATCATGACAGCTGAAAAGGAGAGATATAAAACTCTACAGTGTAGCTATTTCCCAAAACCTTACCCTGAAGTTTCAATATCATTTAATAGCCTCTTTACATAGTCTGAAACACATGACAGAGATTGTTTACATCATTGAATTGTCCTTCATATTTTACTCCCAAAACTTTTGTGAACATTTCTACAAGAAAGAAAGCAATTTGGACAAGCTGCTCCACTAGAGATGTAGATGTAGTGGCTCTCTTACTAAAATACTTGCCATGTAAATATATGTGGAAAATTATCTTTATGTATATAAAAAATGTTATGGATATTTGAAGGCATTTAGAACATTAAAAGTTTTAATCTCAATAGGTGGAATAAATACTATGACTACATCATTACTTATACAGATGTCAGGTTTGTGGAACTAAGGAAGGAAATAGAGGTCATAGGTTTCTTTTTTCTTTTCTTTTTTCCTTACTAAGACAAAATTAAGATCTATACTGGAGGAGAGAAATGTTGTATATTGAATGTACATTGTACATGAGTTCTTAATAGCAGAATATTTTGGTGTTCCAAAAGAGAGCAGTTAAGCAAATGCTGCTGTTCAGATCCGTCTGTAGTTTGGTTTTTATTTCACTTTTTTTTTTTTTTAATTAATAATCTAGGAGTGTTTTTAACTTTACAGCTCTAGTTCCTATTCTGGTATTAAAAGTTGGTTAAGAAAGTTGTTCTTAAAGTTCAGCCTTGTGCCTTTTGGTTGGTTGGTTGATTAACCTTATTTCTGAACTGTTGTCATCAATATTAATGGAAGCCATGGTCTTGCCCAAGCACTTGAGCTAAAGTCATAATGTAGAAGCTTCAGGCCAGATGTGTATCAAGGGTAGCACTGATGATAAAAGTGATCTGCTTCTAAAGATCATATATGAAATATTGGTTATATAATCACTCTTGCCAGTTTAAATTTAAAGTGGTTTTGGAAAAACTAAAGAAAAGACTTGAAAGTTCAGAACTGAATTTATATGTTTATAAGCTACCATATAACTAATATGGCAAAATATTTATTTTTTATTGATTTGTATACTTTGTTCTAAGGGCAGCCAGTGTGGGATAGGCTAGAAAATAGCTACTTTCACATGAATCAGCAAATCATTGTACCTTGTAACATAAAGATGCCACCTTTAACTGAAAGATGGTACTTCAGAATTACTATTTCAATGAAGCAACTTGCATTGTGGTGTGCTGCATATAAAATTTAGTTTTGAAAACATGTAATTTTTCTTAAGTGGCTCTTAAATCTCTTGACTTAGAAGGTCACATGAACACAGTTTTAACTACTGCTGTGGAACAAAAGCCAACCAATATGTGAGGGTCTTTCCTTTTCAATGGATAATTATACAGTGACATTATTTCCAAGCTACTGTTTTAATAATAGTATAACATTTTTGTAAAAAGAGAGAGAGAGAGAAATCTGAAATGTGTTTTGGGTAAAAAAAAAAAAAAAATCTGGAACAGATTGAGTTATTCCTGTCATAACATTTCAGGGAGCAAGTTTCTTTGGTGTCCTGAATTAGTTTCAAAATGAAATTCAGCTTCACTGAAAAAACAGACCTACAGTAATCTATTTTCCCTCATCAGCAATCAAATTATTGGACAAACAGGGGTATATATAAAATTCTGTCAAGCTATTTCAGTTATATCTTCAGTTTTATAGAGAAATAATCAATACAGGTTCCCTATATTCTTAGTTATCTGATACATTTCACTTCATGAATTTGGCTTATTTTGAGGATCACTCAGTCTGGACAGAGTTGCAAAATTACTGGAATTTTTTTTAATTATGCGCTAAAATTATATGTATCATTATAGCTTTAAGTTTCATACAAGCACACCAGCCTTGATCTGTGTCCCTTCCTTATAGGAAGAAATGGTAAGGACAGAAATAGCAAGGTGTGGTAAATCAAATATTATAAATATGAATTTTCAAAAAAAATTTAATTTGTATGTTTCTAAAATCTGTTAATTTAGGTTGCCTAACGTTTCATAAATGATCCTTAATTCCAAGTAAATATCTTATAATGAATTCAGTATTTCTTAATAAATTCAGGATTGCAAGTGTAGATACAGTTTTATAACAACATCCACATGATTGTTTTTATGGGATTTCACTGATGTTATTGGAACTGCACAGGAGCCTTGCTGTATATTTATTGAGGGATGAATTTTAGCAATACCATGTTCAAGAATCATTAAGCAAACTTGGAAAAATCTTCCAGTAATCCAAAGTTAAATGCATTCATGGTATGGGAATTTAACAGATTCTGCACAGAAATCGTTGAGAACTGAATTGTCCAATAACGCAGTTCTCTTCTGGCAGCTATTATGAGAATGTTAGGGGTGCTGTGCAGGCACTCTACTTTTGTATAAGTCTCTGGCCATGCACCATAGTCTCCACTGGGATAAACTGAAACTCACACTCCAGAAACCTGGGGCGGGGGGGCAGAATTAGCTTTGAAAACCTGCAGTTTAACCAGTAGAAAAATTGAATGTAGATAAAAGAGACTTCTGTGGGCAACAAAAATACTTGGTAACTTTCATTTGGCTGCTCAAGATTAACTTTACTAACACTTCCATAGTGAATCCATGGGCTTGGATCTAAAGATGCTTTGTCACTAATGGTATTTTAAAGTGACCCCTCTCCTCTCCTGCTACAGCTCATAATATAATGCTGTATCTTAATCTCTTAAGAGCAGGTGTTTGGAAAGTTGCTAATAGAACTAGAAAGCCTGCTTGTTCAAACTGTGGGTCTTTTAATCCAAGCCAAAATGCTGACGCAAAACCTGTTGAAATTAGTGGAACTTGTTTTCAAATGATATGTGAGATTTGGATCTCCAAGCATGAACTACTAGTTCATAACGGAGGCTTTAGCCCTATTAGTTTATGCGCGAATCATCTTAGAGAATGGTTATACTGATTAATTGTATTCGTTTATCCCTATTTGCTGCATACCTTCCTTTCTGAAAGGACTGTTTTTAGAATTGGGATAGTAATGGCTTTATATAAAGTTGATACATAATAAAGCTTAGGCTTTCAAGAACATCTATTTTCCTAGAGGTATTTTCCTCTAAGATCAGTAAGTGGAAAACATTACTAATAATTGAAAACATGGACAGCATTTCACTTTAAACATAATTTTTTACTCTCTAATTTGACAGGACACTGACCTGATTGCCTTATGCTTGCTTATTTCTTTTTGAAAATAGCCACAAAGGCTGTGAATTTCATGTCAGAGCTTTGCTAGGTAAAGAAGTGTTAAATCACTTCCATCAATGCCATAATCTCAGTCTACTCATTTTATTAGTAAATAATTTTTTTAGCTTTGGGAGAAAAAATGGTTTAGATGAAAGAGCAAAGTTAAAAAAAAAAAAGTCTCCATCACAGCTATTCCAACTAAAGGTGAAGCTTCTTGAATGAACAAAAAGTTGGAAGATGTGATTATGGATCTCTTGCAAATTTGTGCAGTTCTGCTTTCCATTATTCCTGGTTAGCCTACAAGTTACTTTAGTTTGGGGCACTTGGTCAAGTCAGTTTTTATTCTTTTGGCCTAAATGGTTTATGAATGGAAGAGTTACTGGCTTCTTTTAAGTTGCCTTGATGTATTAAAAAAAAGCACAGTTGCAAGTTGTTTCTTCTTTCTTTAGAAATGTCACTTGGATGTATTATAATCTCTGCTTATCCCTTCACTGCTTTAAGTGCTGTGGTACATAATACTGTTTCCAGTTTTCAAGGCATTATCTCCATAATACTGTTTCCTGTTTTAAAAGCATTAGGTATAACAGTGCACCAGACAGTGTGGTTTATGATTTACTGAGCCATAATTCATAGCAAAGCTAAACTAGACTTTATTAAAAAAAAAGACAAAACATTTTTATTTCAAATTAATGTTAAGTTAAAACAAAGATTAAAAGCTCTCTTCTAATATGGCAAGAAACAATAGATCAAAATAAATGAGGCAACTGATTAATTGACAATAGGTCATTACATTTGGTAGGTAGATCTTGCAGAACAAGAATCATTTATAGGAATAAAAATCCTAATTACTAGCAACCTTAGGTGAAAGTTTAAGCATGTGTTAATACATGGACAATTGCTTCTTATGAACATGATTCAATTGGTGAAGTTTATGGGTGGGCTTTTCCAAATCAGTCCCACAGAAATAAATGTAGGCCGCTGTACAAAAGTGCCTAACAAATTGGGCCCCAAAGTTTAGATTATCGGTGGCCCATGTAATATTAATATTACAACAGCTTTTCTGATTTGCAGAATAACAGCATAGTTCTAGATCATATGCCAGCTTTGTTAAAATTTTGCTTTAAAATAATAATATGCCTTACATTAAGGATTATGTTAAGGTTGCATGTTTTTATTTTTATTTTTCTTAGCTTATATGTTTTATTTCTTTTCACTGCATCAAAGGTCTTTTGGTATGGGGACTGCTAATCTTATAAATGACTAGGTATGTATACATCTGTGTATTGCTATATGTATTTCCTTGCATCATACCTCCAACTTGTGATTGTATAATACTGTATGACTAAATATTTGCAGAGAGTACCATAAATAGTAGGGATTTGGATGTCATGGCAAGAAAAGAAATTGCCATACCTTTTCTTTCCTTGCTAATCTTGTCGCACCTCAGTTGTGGCATATATGATTAGCTACAAACAGTAATTTGATGTCTGGACCTTTATTGCAATAAAACCATGTCTTGGCTTACCAAGCAAAGCTTTGCTCCTACATAATGAATATAAGGAGACGTGAGCAAAAATTGTTTATCGCTTGCAAACAGAGAAAGTAGAAAAGAAGAAAACTGCCTTAATTGTGGATTGCTCAGTGCAAAGGTAGTGTGCAAATTCATCAGTAAATATTACCTAGGTTATAAATGATAATTTGCAATAAGAATATCTGTGGCTTCACATCATGTGTTTAGCCAATTTTAGTGATAGTTCAGGAATTCCAGATATGTTTAAATATTATGTCTGTATAGGGTCTGTATATGGGAGGACATTCTGGATGAAGAACAATCAGAACTGAGAGTGAGTCAATTCTCCTTCCCTCCTGAATTTCTCTCAAAAATAGACTTCCTGGAGGAGATCTTCGGGTAGCAGAGAGGAAGAAAAAAGTTTGGTCATGTGAGCAAACCTCTGCTCGTGAAACTCTGGATTTCACCCTCTAGTTCTTACAGAATCTAATTTAAACCTGTGAAGATTTGCTTTTTTTCTAAAAGCTAAACATATTTCTCCATTTGAATAAAGTAAAATAATAGAGATGTTTTACCAACAGACATTCCTTAACTGTTTGCTAACCTTTCACATAACAATCTGATAACTACTGTTTGTTCATGAGGTTTTATAAAACTTGACTAAATATGTAAGTTTCACTTGGCAGGAGCTCTGTGAGCATAAATAAATTTATTTTTAAGTAAAAGCATTTAGAATTTAACCCGTTTTGTCTGCTTTAAAAATCTGAATGGACTTCAGTGTTAATTCTTGGAAGATGATGTTTTCAAATCACGCTTTAAAAATCTATCAAAGATGCCCAGGAACAGAAATCCATTAAAATTTAGGATGGCATCTTACAAAGATCTTATTTTATTTATCTGTACATTTATGGTTAGGAATAAAGAAAAATAAGATCCTATTTGTAATGTACCTAATATCAGACTTATATCAAAATAAAACTATTTTCAGTGTGAACAGACTATCTACTTGATTATTCATCTCGTCACATTCAGATACTAGCACGTTACATGGAAGCAACTGCACAGAGACTTGTTTGTAAAATACTCTAAAGTGTAACCCAGGATTTACAATTCATAATGGTTAAACCAAAACTATATGTCTTAAGTTATGCAAACCAGGCCATCAAGTTAATGTGGTTTGTTTTGGCATAGCATACTAGGTCAATACATGAGCATGTTTGTTAAATATGGTTTAGCCTGTTGGGCAAACAATTTCTTGTTCTTCTAATCAGAATCCTGTTACCTAATGGAATTAAATAAATCAGATACAATTTTTAAAGTATTCTCGGTTTATCTTTGAGTTAGTCCTACTGTACTACAGAAAGGGTTCCTTGCGTTTACAGAAGAAAATTTAATCCAACAGAATGTCTTCCTAGAGGAATTTGTGATATTGCGCTTCATGTATTTCTCCATCCATGCTGCAGCCACCAGTCTTGGTTCCCATGCCATATTCCAAAGACTCTCTCAACATTAAGAAATTTAAAAGGGAGGAGCGGAAAATGATGACATTAGCTGCTAGCAGCAGGAATATCCAGTTATCAGTGCCAGTATAGAGAACTCTGAATCCACCTCTCTTGCTTGTGACATTGTGACACTGATTGTGACACATCAGAATTAAAGACAGCTGCTAAATGAATCCTGCAGGGAAAAGAAACCAATAATTGACATGGGAAGAAAAGATCTACAGGGAGGCTTCTAGCCACTGAATATAAACAGATCAGAATGATAGAGCTTTCACCGCTTGTAGGTCAGAAAGCAACTTAAGATGTTTTGTAGCAGTACTTCAGAAAAATGATCAGTGTTTGTCTTTTGCATTGGTTTGAGAGAAACAAATCTCTAATTTTTTTTCTTTTGAAGACCTCATATATTAGCAAAGAAAGGAACATGTATTTGACTTCCCAGGTTGAAATAGGCAAAGGTTACAATCCTGTGCATTTTACTGGCATTAAATCCTTCTGAACTCAGGGGGGGGGGTGTTTAATTTTAAGTAGAGATATACAATAGATACAGATATGATTACACTGTGACAGGAAGATCCTCAAAACACGATATTCTATTAAACTTTATTCAGCCATTTCTTCAATTAACAATCAGTTTAAATTCTTGTTCTGAAAATGTTTGCCCAAACAAATACTACTTTCAAAAGACATATATACTACTAAAAATCTCATTGAGTTTGCCAGTTTGTACCCTCAGGTTAGCCCTCCCTCCAAACAAGTATATGCATTAACAGTAATTTAACACCTACTCTAATATTACTAAAAAAAAAAACCCTTTCATCCCCTTTCATCCCTAAACAATAACTGAATTATGAAAAATATTCAATTATCAATTTAATCAGCAAAAGCGTTAAAAGTGCCAGTAATGATAAGCTATATATTTTAAGCTTAAACAAATAGGTCTATTTTGTATTTTAACTTCTAATTTTTTTCTGAAAAATAAAACCTAAAAGATCTCTCCCCATAAGCATAGAAAAATTGTCTTACAGTCCTGGTCAGAAAAAGAAAGTTCAATATTAACAATCCAAGATCAAAACATAGACAATTTAACCCCGATCTGATAAATCCACTTTGAATTCCTTTCTCTTCTTTTTTAAAGGCTCAGTCTTCAGTCTCTTCTCCAGATAAAACTCCAAATAGCAATCTCTTATCATTCTCTCCCTATTTATTTCAGAAAAGGTTTCAGAGATTTGGTGTTTCCCTTCTGTGTGTCCAAAGTAGAATAATTCTCAAAGTCACTCTTCTGATCCATTACAGCTTCTTTCTCCATATCATTCTCATAAACAAGCAACTTTGAGTCCATCTTCAGATTCACAGCATCTTTTTCCATATCATCCATGTCTCTTTTATAATCTGGCATTTCTTTAAAGTCCATTTTAGAATCCTTATTCAAATCATCCTCAACTGCTATTTTATCTAGTAAAATCTTTTCTTCTTCTACAACCTCTGTTAGTCCCAATTTTA